GTACGTGATTACAAAGGGAAAAACAGTAACTAGTGAAAAGACTTGAGAGGTAGTAGAATATGCAAGTGCTCAGTACATCATCAGAAACAGGACAAAATGAAATGGTGCCCCACCTGATACAATGCAAGAATACAGAACCACTGGATCTAATCATGGGGAAATGGGTGAATCCAAACTCATAAACAAAATAACTGGCCTATAATCTATAAAAGTGCCATGAAAGGGAAGGAAAAACTGAGGATTCTAAACTCAAAGTGACTGAAAAATCTCAACATAAGGTAAGAAATCATTTTGAACTGGATTCTTATTGTATTACTGGGAAAACAGGTAAAACTTGGAGCCTGAGGATTATAGGTGGTAACAAATCATTGTTAACATCCTGTCTTTGGGGGTTGTATTATGGTCTATAGGAGAATGTCCTTCTTTTTAGGAAATATCGTTAACTTTGAGGATTATAAGCGACATTAGCAATTACTTCATTTTCAAAAGGGAAAATGCTAATTTGAACAATATGTTTGTTTTAAAAACTTTTAAAGAGAAAAATGCAGAAAACGAATGGTTCTTAGTGATCATGGAATGAAGTTAACTATAAAATGCGTCATTTTAGTTATGAGATGAACTGAGTGAAATGCCTGTTATCTACTGTGTGTGAGTTCTTTAAAACTTGAAATTTTGTTACTCCCACAGAATATTTTTTCCATCCATTTTTCATAATCTGACTTAAACACACCACACTCCCCAGTTAGAATAGTGACATGTTCATACATTTCTTCAGTAGAAAGTATGTCAATTGTTTGATATTTAATACCAAAAATGTATATACTACTATAAAAATAACTTCTCCCCCTTGTGGTAAAATTGAAAATACAGTCTTCTAGAAACTACTACAGTAAAACCTGTGAGAGCCTACACTTGAATGGACTGCCTTATTTTTCACTATCTTATCAGTTTTCCACCTTTGTCAGGGTGCAATATTCCCACTTTCTATTGCTCCGTTTAGTGAAAAATAGTTACGCTTTCTGTCTCAGGCAGGATTCTGCCTTACACAGGTTCCACTTTTGCAGGTTTTACTGTATGAAATATAAAGTCCTGGTGTGGCGCTGTGGGTTAATGTGCTGGACTGCAAAGTTGGTTTGAACTGCAAGGTCGGCAATTGAAGCTCACTAACAGCAATTTGGAAACCCTATAAAGAGAAGCTAAGGAGCTCTAGTAGCATAGTGGTTACGAATCAGGCTGCGAACTTTAAGGTTAGCAGTTCGAAACTACCAGCCACTCCGCGGGAGAAAGATGAGGCTTTCTACTCCCGTTAAGATTTACACCCTCGGAAACCCTCTACAGGGTCGCTATGGGTCGGAACCGACTCGACGGCACTTAACAACAACAACAACATAAAGAGAAGCTATGGGTCGGACCCGACTTATGTCTGTCACTTAACAACAGAGGCACTTACTATTGTTTCTTGGAGTCCTGGTGTGGCACTCTAGGATCAACACTGGACTGCTAACCACAAAGTTGGTGATTCAAATCCACCAGCCACTACTTGGAAACCCTATACAGGATCTTTGAGTCAGAATTAACTTAATGGAACGTAACAGTATTATTCCTTAAAAAGCATTTCCATATACTTTACCTCAATATTATTTTCCAAATAGCATTTGCATATCTGCTCAGATGTAATTTGAGTTTTCTTTAGATCAAATTCTATTGGACAATGCCCACAGTTTAAGGGTTAATTTTTTAAAAAAATAGCAGGCAAAAAGATTCATTCAAAGGTACCTGCCAGAACAAACAAGATGGTGGATCGGGTGGAAGGACAGTGACGAGCTCTGCCGGGAACAACACAGAATACAGGACCAAGAAGGCTCAGGGAATGGTCCCAGTACTCTGAACCACATATAAAGGAATATTTGGAAGGTTGGAAGACTTACAGCTGGGAAGTTTGTGGCAGAAGCAAGAAATCCATTGCTTCCTGGTTCGGGACGTTCAGCTGCTCCAGGAGCCGCCATCTTGTGTGGGGCCAAGCGGGGAAAGGATCAGAACAGCCACGGACGCCTGACAGAGCCACAGAGATAGAGGTGTGGGCATTCTTTATTTTTTGTTATCTGTTTATTGGTCCCTTGCTGTCTGCCTACCTCCATTCTGGTGACTGTAGGGGTGCCTAAGCTAGTGGGCACTCCAGCCCCACCCTTGGAGGGTTCTACTACGCATGTGCACAGATTTCCTCAAAATTTAAAGAGACAGTTTCCACTTAAAATCAAACGGCCACAGCCGGACCTGAACTGTTTATAACTAGAAAAAAAAGGCCTGAATTGGAATTGTAGAGTGGGACAAGCAGACAAAAATGGAAATAGGCTGAAAATTAAATCCTAAATTACATCACAATGACCAACAGTGGCATCTTGAAATTTCTTAAGAAGAGTAAAAAGGGAAGCCCATATCCTTCCTGATCACATCTGCACATGTCCAGAAATGAGACAAAGTGCCTGAGGCAAATGAGCTGGAAGTAGACCTACACCAACTCACTAAAACAGAGCTTTTTGATGGATACACTTCTATTTGGTGCAATAATATTCAAATAGAATTTCATGACCACTTAAACAAAAGCTTTAAAACAAAATTTTAAAAGTATGACCACATACTGGACAAATTAAAAAAAAAAAAATTCCAACATAAAATTGGATATTTGTAAACTTACTTCATAATCTAGACTGTACAATGAGAACCAAACATTGGATGAAAAAGAAAATACAGCAAAACTAATGACTCTATTCACCTAGAGTGCCACATAAAGAATGCAGTGTACAGATCATGAAATCACAACAATTTGGATTTCAAGTTGGTGTGTATAGACACTGGCTATATACCTTGAGCATGTCTTCTTAATAGTTTTCCTATGGTTGCTTTGAAATAAAATTAGAAATAGTATGCAAGGAACCTGGTGCAGAGCCTGCAACTTAAGCCAATGAATGTAGGCTAATTATCTTTATTATGCACTAAAAGCAATATCTATTTTGAATCTTTTTTACTTCAAGTATAATTATTTTAACGATGTTGGTTATTTTTTACTTTCCAAAGTACTCAACGTTACAAAGAAAAAACCTTTTCATGAAGATAGGTAGTAGTCTAAGGACTATGGTGGTGGTGGTGGTGGTTAGAGGAAAGCACACAATATCAAATTCACCCTTAGGTGTTAGGAGAATTCAATTCGCTTTAGGAAACAGCTCATACTTTTGAGAAATCAATGGGCAATGTGTGGACAATACTCAGAATATTTTCATGCTTAAAAAAAACCCACCACCACTAACACAAATCTTGCGTGAGTGGGCTGTGTTGGCTTTACATAAAGGTCAAGTATTCCTAAGTACTACTTTACAAACAAGACCATCTTAATAGTTTTGTGGCATTTCAGAAACTAAAATCCCTTCACCTAGATACTAGTAACTAATTACTATCATATCATGTACATGTTGTAAAATAATGTACTTTGTGATTACCTAGAGTCATAAATGTTGGGCAAAAGAAATGTGATAACTTCTTTTAAAAATCAGAATATGAAAAATGCATATTGCTTCACAGAATATGGTGTGGTTTTTTTTTTTCCCATTTAGAGAAAACTATTTATTTAGGTTAACTTTATAATCTTGGCTTTAGAGTCAAGTATTTTTCTTTATAAAGGAAGTAGGAAGAATCTTGAATATTCAAATAAAAATGAACTATAGAATTTGGTATGGATTTCAAAGTATAAAAAATGGAATGAATTAAAAATAAAAACCTTTAGAGGGAATTTGTTTATTACACAATAATGTTAACACTTCTAAATTAAGTATTCACTTATGAGTTCTCTTTGTCACTGCCCTGTCAATGGACATAATGGAAAATATTGCACAAAACTCAAGCATGGAAATAATAATTAACAAAATATCTAAGCAACAATGTAAGCTTTACATTTAAAAAAATGAATCCAAGCAAAACAATTTGACGTGCTTCTCTGGTTTGGAGGTCTTAAAATGTTGTTTCATGTTTTATTTGTTATTTATTTATTTATTTATTTTACAAATAGACACTGTTTGTTACAAAGAGTTCAAGTGGCCAGTAAAACTACTGACTTAAAATTGTTGGCTTGAAATAACAGAGGTATAATTTGAATCCACATCAGAGCTTTCTAAAATGGCAAAAGCATCACTAGTATAAGTATCCCAATCTGGTCTGGCTCTCCTTTAGCTGAGGAATAGAAACTAGACAGCCTAGTTCTAAAGCTGCCATGATTTCCTAGAATGCTGTGACAAAAGTTGGCATACTTCATTTCCCCTGGCTATCTTGATAGCTGTGGGTTAACCAGAAAACGCAGACAGTTCTTTCAGTAGTAACATAAAGGTAGCTAGCTCTGGATCTGGACGTTTGGTAAAGTTGATGATCAGTTAAAAACCAATTCTTAGAAGAAAAGCATTTTTTCAAAATTAGGGCAAAAAGCCTACATTAAAAAGAAAAAAAAGTCAAGAGTGAGTTGAATATTCAAGTTTATATGTTCCTAAAAGACTATGGACAAGAACACAATGAAAACGGAAACACTACATACAGTTTTGAACACATTTTGCCGCACACATTTATGGAGTCTTACCTTTAACTTCCCTTGTAATATTAAAATAATGAATAAATACGGTCCTTAAATTAATGTCCTCTTCTTAAAGTGAAATATAAAACAAGGTATTTTGTTTATTTACTGTTAGAATTGGCTTAAAACCTATTTGCCAAATTAAGAAATAGCAAGTTTTATCTAGAAAGCAGCTGTATTCCGATCCACTCCTAATGCCTACATAAAATGTTTCATCATTTTATTTTTATTTATAACATTCTTCTTGGAACAGTAATATTGTTGCACATCAAAAAAGTTCAATCAACCAGCTACAGAAATTATGCGAAATTGTTAACCCTTTGAAAGAGGCAAAAAATTCTTTAGGAAACACTAAAATAAATTGATTAACAATTACCAGTGCACTAAAAAGGTCATTAAAAATTGATGTTTTAAAAATGGAGCTTTGTCGTATTTCACCCATCATTATTTGTATGGTGGTATTTCCAAATAGGGAGGGTATGCTAGAGAAGAACTGAAACACTGGTAACATCTCATTTGCCTTTTGACACCAACACTTTCCAGGATGAAAATAGTGATGTAGTTGCACAGAATTTGAATTTGTAAGTTCAAGAGTGGACTGAAAATTTAACTTAAGGGGGAAAAAGAGAAATATGGCTAGTGGTATCCAAATTTCAAATAAAATCTCAAGTGTAATATGGCTGCTGTTTTCTTCTAAACAGTCATTATTTCATAAAATCTTGGCTGTGTCACAAGGACTCTCTCCTGTGCTTGCTGTCAACTGACGCCTGCCAAAGTACAACACGTTGTCCTTGTGAATTCAATTTCAGCTGAAATGCCGAGCAAGGCGGGCAGACCGATAGTCACCACGAAGTTGCACAAAGGAGTGAAGTATATTCTTGTCCAGATTAGCAAGTTGTTCTCCTGAGCAGACTTGCTTTAAATTATCTGGGGCAACTACCAGAAGATTGAAAAGTGCATGCAGAGTATCAAAAAGCTGTAATACCAGTGGAATCTGAAATGAGAGAAGAGAAGGGCAACACTGAAACAAAATCATTTCCTGTTTCCTAATTATAGAGTCTTGTTACTTGTACTCTGATAAACAGGACTTACTAGTGTGGAGTTCACTACATTAGAATTTTTTCAAGTTCCTAAAGCTTTGAAACTCAAAGATTTCACATGTTATTTAGGCTTCCCTTTTATCTCTCTGCCCCGCCCACCCCCAAAGTTAACAGTGTATTAATTTTTTTTCAGTAACAACAATCATTTATACTTTTATGGACTAGGACTAGTTATAACTAATCTGATACCTCTAAGAATTATCTTAAGAAAAAGTGATCAGCAAGAGAGGTACATGAAAAAACATAAAATCTTACTGACATGCAACATATACGGCATTAACTATTTTAGACAAGACCATATTTCAGTTCCACATTGGGGCAATGGAACTGAAATACGGTCTTGTCTAAAATAAAGCAGTAAGCAAAAATGTGTTAATATTGAAGATGTGATTAGAACAGCACTTTTTCACGTAAGAATGTTAACGCCACTTCATTTCAATCTGCAAGAGTTAGCAACTTTTCCGAACTATTATAAGTCAACACAGATTCTTATGCTCTTACTTACGCTTCTGAGCTTATTTGTCAGCTTAGTATATGTGTGTACATACCTTGAAGTCTTTGGCACACTTCCTGTATTCTGCTACATCACAAATTGCTAACATGCCACCCATACAACTGTAGGAATATTGTTGAAGATGCTCATAAATAAGTCGATGAAAACGTACTCCAAGTTCCATCAAAACTGTGTCCACATTCTTCCCATCCATGGAATTTTTAATCTTTTCCACTTGTTTTCTTACGTAAGCACAGACTTTAACACAGGCCTGTAAAGTTTTTTCTATACTTATTATATAGTACCAGTTAAAAGAAAAATATGCATGTAATTTCTCATTAACATCTAGGTATATATGAAAAAAAGAGCACGGTGGTGGCTATGTGCCGTGAGTCGATTCCGACTCATAGTGTCCCTGTGCAGGATTTCCGAGGCTTTATAGCCTTTACGGGAGTAGAAAGCCTTATCAAAAAGAGCATAGGTACATTAAAATGGTAACCAAAATATTAAGAAAGTTGACATTTTTACTAATGAATTAAATCATTTTACTTACGTTAGTATACTGCATCATAACATTGTTTGTATCTTCTGGTTTAAAATCTGTTTTCTTTTGTTCTGCAGCCAAAATATGCTTCATCTGTCCAATCATACAATTCAATGTCCTAGATAGAGAACACACTGTTTGATCCATTAAAGCTACTTTATATTTATGCCTGTTTGTTATTTCTACTAAGTTAAATTAATATTTAATTTCACATCATCCTAAAACACTTTTGCTATTGGTAGACTTAGATTTTAGAAAAGAGAATACAAATATAAAACATAAAAAGAGAAAATAAAACCTATTCAAAAGAGGACAAAGATCCATCTGTATTAATACTTTATATTTAAGACAATATTAAAGACCTTAGAATTATGTCACTAATTTATAGTGATTACACCAGCAATATGTGTGGTATTCTCCAGCAGCATTTAGCCATCCAGCTGTAAGAATAAAAAGAGACTGCACTGATTCAGAGCATAAGGTCTATAAAGGCAGCTATGGGTGAAGAAGACAGATTTTTAGTGGGTTAATGCACCAGACTGCAAAGCCGTTTGAACTGCAACGTCAGCAGGTCAAGCTCACCAGCTGCTCCTCGGAAACTCTATACAGGGTTGCTATGGTCGGAACCAACTTGACGCACTTCACAACAACAACAAAGGAGTAAGGAGTCCTAGTGGGCTCTAAGATAAGCACTGGACTGCTAACAACTCAAGATCTGCAGTCAAACCACCAGCAGCTTTGTGGGAGAAAGATGGGGCTTTCTGCTCCCATAAATATTTACTTTGGAAACCCTATACAGGGTCGATACAAGTCAGAATCAACTTAATGGCATGGAATTGGTTTGGGTTTATAAGGGCCCTGATGTGGCACTGCTGGACAGGCACTAGACTAGTAACCACAAGATCAGCAGTTCAAACCCAGCAGCCACTCTTGGAAACCTTGTACAGGGTCATTATGAGTCAGAATCAACTCTATGGCACATAACCACCATCACCACCAATTCAAGAAACGGACCCAGTGATCTAAGCAGAATAATGAAGGAAGTTAGGAAAAGGGTAATAGACTGACTGAAAATAAGGATATCAAAGTCTTGAGAACCTGCTGAACTCAGAAAATAGAAATATGGAAAAACTAAGGCGTTATAGGAGGTTGTGGGCATAGAAAGCAATATTCAGACTCAAGGTTTTAATTGCCAATCATAACAAGGTCCAGTGGGCATAGAAACAGGTAGCTAAAATGGAGCTAATCAAGTATCTCCATGAATGTGGAAACCACCTAAGATTAAGAGACAGGTGCCCCAATCCTCATTAAATATCACAGACTAGCATTAATGCTTCATGCTCTTGAGTTGTTGTTAAGTGCTCTTGAGTCGGTTGTCATAGCAACCCTATATCGGCTTTCCAAGGGGTGGCTCATCAGTTTGAACCGCTGACCTTGCGGTTCACACTGACCTTGCGGTCCAGTGCACTATCCCACAGCACCACACAAGGACTCCAACTACAAGTTAAAGGTTCACATTTAAGATAACACAGAGACCACTGTGTCATTAATGTACTAACTAATGCAAAGATTTGCAGAATATACAGAAAGATGAAAAAATTATACAAGTTAGAAAGAAGAAAACTATGAAATAAGTATTTCATATATTTCTGAAAGTTTAATGTATTCAACCTCCTCCCTAAAACTGATTTTAAGGAATTTTGAGGTAAAACAAGAAGAAATGGGCATACGTTTTTTATATGAAGGATTTTAGTTAGGAAAATACCAGGGAGCTTCAAAAAGTTCATGGAAAAATGGAATGAAAATAGAATTCTTCCATGAACTTTTGCAGTCCCTTTGTACATACTTATTAGCAGTGATGAATATAATGTACTACATGTTCATACTCGTAGTTCAAACCCATCAGTCACTCTTCAGAAACCCTATACTGGGTTGCTATGAGTCTGAGTCAACTTAACAACAAATAATATCCTTATTTTTTCCTAATTTTATTCTACTTTGTTTCACTTTCTCTCAATTTTAGTTCTCAGCCTTCATGCTAAAATCATTTGGGTGGAGAGTTGTAAGTAATTTACTACTACCAATAAAGTAAAAATTATTTACTTCTTTTATAAACTAGAGTGAATTCCAGGTTATCCTTACAACAGTATTATCACTAGCTCCCATTCAAATATGCCTTCTTGAGGAAAAAGGAGAATTATAGCAAAAACAAAACAAAACCAAAAGATCAGCATGGGCTGATCTTGTGCAAATTACTTAATTTCTTTAAGCGGCCATTGCCTCCTCTGTAAAATGGAAATGTGGCACTGTCGGATCAGCACTGGACTGTGGAGCCAAAAGGTCAGCAGTTCAAACCCACCAGCTGCTCCTTGGAAACTCTATACAAAGTAGCTATGAGTCCGAACTGATTCGATGACACTTAACAACAACCTGAAATATGAAATAGTATGATGCTTCAAATAGTTCGTGAAAAAGCTCCATTATCTTTCATTCCATTTTCCCAAGAACTTTTTGAAGACCCCATCATATAGTGATCCTTGCACTGTGCCTGGCACACAGAATATGTCCAATGGTTATCTAAAATCGACTCGACAGCACTTAAAAAAAACAACATTATCAATAAATAAAAACTCATAAATATATGCTGCACATTTGGCCACTGTCTCAAAATAAAAGATACTATGAAATGGTAATAAACTACAATAAGCATACAATTTTTTAAATTAGAGTTTGTATTCACTTCATAGAAGCTACCTTTAGAGAATCACTTAATTATTCATTTAAAACATTTTATACATAAGCCTGAAAATTGAAAACTAAATTCTTTATGTTACATGCTAGTTTTTTTTTTAAGGTTTTCAGAGTGTGTGTCAGTGAGTGATTGTGTATGCATAGGTGTATATGCTGACGGGGCTAACAAGAAAACTTTTTTTCAACTGAATATGGCTTAAAAGTACACTTCTACAAACTGACCTCCAGAAACAAAAAATGTGAGTATCTAATAAAAACAACATTTCGTTAAAGAATGGAAGCAATACGCAAAAGTAAAATCAATTGTTACTGCAGGATTATGGAAGTAAGACATTTTTTTTTTTCAAAATTGTTTTAATGTTGCTACGATAGTATTTTAACAATTAGAAAGAAAGAAAACAAAACAAAACAAAACAAAAAACCCCACAAACCAACCAAGGGAAAACATAAAAGTGGCAACTTGCCTATCAATACCAGTATCCAATTTCATCTCCATTTGTTCAATTATTTCTTTTTTCTTCTGAAGGCATTCAGACAACTTAGGAGAAGAGCTATTGAAGAATTAAAGAAAAGAACCCACATTACTGACAGTCCTATCATTTCTAAAAACTCTTCACATGTATAATATACTCTTACACATTTACAGATATATCTACTCCTCCCTTACTATCTTGCTATTGACTATATACTTCACATTTCTAATTATAATGAAAAATCTACTATTTGAATAGTTTACGCATTAACAATGTACATGTGACAATAAGGAATGCCTAGGAGCAAAGTGAGGATAATACTGCTACGATGGTTAAGGTTATGTGTCGCCTTGGCTGGTCATGATATCAGTGGTTTGGGAATTACAAAAAATTTGGCAGTTAATGCAATGATGTAGTCTTCCTCAAAATTGTGATCTGATGTGATCATCCTCTATTTTCACACAGCGACCTGATCTCTGAAACCTAATCATGTCAGTAAGTGAGGAATGGGTACACATATGCATGGTAGTAGTGGTTGTGTCACCGAGCTGGTTCCAACTCACACATCCCGATACAGGCTTTCCAAGGCTGTAAATCGTTACAGGAATACAAAGCTTCATCTTTTTTCCTGCAGGGTAACTGGCAGATTTGAACTACTGACCTTATGGATAGCAGCCCATCTTGTAATCCACTACTCTACCAGGGCCCTTGTACATATATATAAATAAACATTTCAGTTTTCCACCAATGTAAGTAGTAGTAATTATTTAGCATTCATTATGCCCAATTAACTACATTATCATACTAGCAACAATTAACTCATTTTAAAAACAGAGGTACATTTTTTCAACTTACAGTGATCTCATGTGACAGAACAGAAGTGCCCTATAGGATTGTCTAGGCAGTAATCTTTAGGCGTATTCTAGTATGACGCTGTAGCATAAGCACTGGACTGCTGACCACAGGTTGGCGGCTGAAACACTTGAGCTGCTCCTTGGAAACCCTATGCAGGTTGCTATGAATTGGAACTGATTTGATGGGACTTGACAACAACAATAAATCTGCAGAATAAGCAATGAACTGCTAACTACAAGGTCAGAGTTTCAAGCCTACCAGGCACTCCTTGGAAACTCTATACAAGGTAACTATGAATTGGAATCATTAGACATTTAACAATAGCAATAACAATCTTTACAAGGAGTCCTAGTGTGGCGCTGTAGGATAAACACTGGGCCACTAACCAGAAGGTCAGCCACTCAAAACCAAGAGCTGCTCATCGGAAACCCTATACAGATCTTTACAAGAGCAGACGGGAACCATTGAGTATGTTTAAACTGTTAACCTTTTGGATAGAAGCTAAACACTTAACCATTGTAACACCACAGCTCCTAAACAATCTGGTATAATAATAAGACTAGTCACAAAGCAGCATCAGTTAAGAAAACAGTAAATTATTCAGGTTAAAATTTGAAGGTTAACAGCCAACCAGTTTTGTTTCATCAAATCTTATATATACTATCTTATTTAATTCTTGTTCATATACACTGATGTGAAGAAATAAATCAAAGCTTAGTACTTACACAAGAAATCACTTATTAATCTCATGTAATATTTGTCATAATCTTTTATTTGAACAATAGGCATAGAGAACCCTAACTGTTGGATCTTTTGAAGGGTGTCAAAGATGCTTGTTTTTACCTCTCATACATCAGTTTTAGGTTTATGAAAAATTCAGTGTTACCAAATACACCAAAATAAACACTGGAGTATGAAGAAAGAATAGAAAAGCAGAGAAGCAGAACTTCTACATTTATTTCACACCTTTTTGTCCTGTTTGAAGCTTTTATGAGCATGTTTTGCTTTTATAAGTAAAATATATCTAGTGTAAGCCTCATATTATAATATTGACACTGAAATATCAATGAAAATCAGATATTGTAACTAACCTTATTAGTGGCATAAGGTGGTCATTAAATTGCTTGTCAAAAAGATGAAAAATAGTATTGGCCTGTTGCACAACATCCAAAAAATAAAGATTTGCACTCTTCGAATCTGAAGAAGGAATTCCTAAAATTGAAAGATGCATATACACACACATACATAAATATATGCTAGACTCATAATGCAGAAATTCACTGTGACAACAACAAAAAGAAGGTGGTTTTCATATGTACAACATTGGCAAAAATGGTTCTTAGTAAATCAGTAATTACATGTGGCCAAGTCAAAAATTATCCGCACTCTGATTATATGAAAACGTCTGCTGGCTGCATTATCAGCGCTTTCCGTTCAAGGTCATTGCTGGGCACATGTGACCGTGGACATCTTCAAATGAAATTTGGACTGATAATAAAAGGAAGGTAAAATTTTCTTTTAAAAATTCGTTACTAGTGATGACACATGGATTCATCACGACAAATCTGAGAGTAAATACCAGAATATGGAATGGAAACATCCTCAATCACCAACCAAGAAAAAGTTTAAAAGTCAACATCAGCTGGACAATCGATGCTTTAGTTTTCTTGGATTCTCAAGGGCCAGTATTAGAATACTTGCAGGAAAAATGTTTAACAATTAACAGCGCTTGCTTGCTACAGTGAGACGCTCACTGAAGAGCTGAAGTCTAAACGTCATATTAAATGCAGAGGACTGCTATCCGAGGGCATTGTGATCTTGCATGACAATGCACATCAACACACCTCTGCTCACACTGTTAACAGTCAGCAAAAACTTCATTTTGAGGTCTTAAAACATCCTTCCTATAGCCCTGATCTTGCTCCATTGAACTTTCCTGTTTGTTCTCCTGAAAGCAGCCCTTTGGGGATGAAGATTCACTGCTGACGAAGGAGTGAAGACAGCGATGCATTTGTGGCTCACAGTTCAGCCTAAGACATTTTTTAAATAATACGAAAGCTTGTTGACAGATGGACAGAGTGTACTGAAAACCAAGACTATGTCGAAAAATGACATATTTGTCTTTTCGAAAAGGCGGTTAAAATAAATTCTACAATTAGAGTGATGTTAACTTTTGATTCACCGTTGTATTTTTGTGGAAAAGATGAGTAAACTAAGTTGTTATTAATAAAAATAGCTTCTAATTTATTTCATACCCAAAATTTTTACCATCTACTAAGTTTTCATGATTTGTTTGTAATAGAAAAGCAAATAATAACCACCAATCCACGGACCATCTTGAACCTTATTTACCTTCTCCTTCACCCTTCCCATTATCTGGTACTCCATGATTCACATGAGTCTTTTTTCTTACACTCTTCTATAATTCTTCTTATAACCAGACTGCATTACCAGCAGTTAAAGTCATTCTTATTTGTCTCACTGGCTCGAGTCCCTTGATCCGTTATTCTATGGTCTGCTGCCTGCCATAGTAATGTGCACAAATTTAGCCTTGAATATTTCACTCACTGTGCTCCCCACTCTTTAATTAACAATATTCAGTCTCACTAGCCTCAGAATAAACCTTTGATTTTCAGTATGTCATTAAATTATCCCACCTTTTGGCCTCAAAGAGTCAGCTGAACTCTATAAATTTCATTTTTTTCTTTATAAAAGTGTCCAAAATTAACTCTAAGGTCCACTTTCAGTTATACATGTTTATGCTTCTAACTAAAAGTAAAAGATATAACCACCTAGGAAAAATGTTAATGTTAATAGCAAAAGACAAAAGCACCTGTGAGAAGGTAAATAAGGTTCAAGACGGTCCATGGATTGGTAGTTACTATTTGGTTTATTATTACAAACAAATCATGAAAATGCTACCAAATCATAAAGGCTCTACCAATAGTTCACTTGTGCTTAAGAGTCATGGTGTGGAACTGTAGGATCAGCACTAGACTGTGAAGCACAAGACCCAAGGTTCAAACCCACCAGCTGCTCCCTGGAAACCCTGTACAGCGTTGCTGTACAATCAATGGCACTTCACAAGCACAACAAGCATTATTCAATGTACTGACCTGAATTTAAAATATTGAGACGTTAAAATAAAAGGAATTTAACAAAAAGCATACACAGATATACTTACCAGCAAGTCCTGTTTCCAAAGCATAGTCAATATGTTCAATACATAAAAATTCCACAAGAATGGTAAAAATTCTAAAGGCATTCCTTGGTAAATCAGAAGGATCGGAAAGCTTTAAAGACAAAACAGAAATGCCTAATTTCTCCTGTTTACTTTATTTCTAAAGCAATTTTGTGTAAGATACAGTACTTTATATGTCAAATCAGTAACTCCCCTTCATTTACCTTCTCAGGGTGATTCTTATTTTATCTGTTAGATAAAGGTGTTAGTTGATGAAGTTCAAACCTAATAATTTGGTATTATTCAATTCCCTTCCTTGTCTTCTCAGACTTGTCGACACTGCGAGTTAATGCACTGGACTGCAAGGACTGTTTGAACCACGAGATCAACAGTTCAAGCTCACCAGCCTCTCCTCGGAAACACTATACAGGGCCACTATGGGTTGGAAACAACTCGATGGTACTTAACAACAACCACCACAACAGTCTCTCTACTCCAATTCTTACCTCCCTCCTTCCCTCATGTATGCTCAGCAGATGCCTACACTTTCTTCACAAGCCATTAAGGAACAAATACCATTTTTTCTTAAGTGTCCTGTTCACATGCACACATAATTGATAGAAGAGGTACATATAAAATTGTTAAAGATACAGGAGATTGGGACACTACCAATAAACTGCACGTAACTGACATTTATAGAGTACTCTACCCGAAATCATTAGAATACATATGGTCTTTTCAGGTACACACAAGATAGTTACTAACATGGACCATGTTGCTGTTGTGCCATCAAATCACTTCCAACTCAGAGTGACCCTGTATAGGATTTCTAAGGAGCTGCCGGTGGGTTTCAATTGCCAACCTTGTGGTTAGCAGTCCAGTGTTTAATCCTACATCACCAAACCAGGAATCCTGTTGATGACAATGGAATCAATAATAGAAAGATAGCTGAAATTTCCCTTCAATATTTAGAAACCAAACTTTTAAATCACCCATGAGGCAAAAGTTTTTTTTTTTTTTTTTTTAAAAAGGGGGACAGGGGAGTAGATTAAAAAGTATTTTGAACTGAATGAAGTCAAGTACAACATATTAAAATGTGTGGAATGCGCAGGAAGTAGTACTCGGAGGGAAATTTATAGGACTAAATACCTATATTAGGAAAAGTCTCAAATTAATGACCTCAGCTACCACCTTAAAAAACTAAAAAACAGGCAAGTGAAAACTGTTAGCAGAAGTTAGAAGAAATGAAACAATAAAGATGAGTGGAAATTGTTAATATACAAAACAGAAAAACAGGGTGGAAAAGTCAATGAAACCAAAAGTTGGTTCTTTGGGAAGATCAGTAAAATTGATTAACTTCTAGTCAAATATATTAAGAAACAGACAAAAATGATTATCAGGAGTGAAAGAAGTTACATCATGACAGCTTTCATGGCTTTTAAAAGGATAAAAGAACATTATAAACAATTTTATGACAATAAATTCAACAACCTATGTGAAATATACAAATCCATTAACCCTTTGTGGCCTGTGGAACACATACTGCTCACTATATTTTCCAACTCTGGGGTTTAGGAAAGAATTGTCATTCCCTTTTAGTGCTTGCTGTCATGTGTTGCGGCCTATATAACTACATCAATTTGATGAAATGGGCCTCCTCCCACCAACCTAGCACTAGAAACCCCCTCAGGTTATATAAGCCCCAAGAGTCCTGGTGTGGCTCTGTGGGTTAATACACGCTAGATTGCAAAATCAGCTTGAACTGCAAGGTCGGCGGTTTAAACTCACCAGCTACTCTTCAGAAACCCTATATAGGGTGGCTTTGGGTCAGAATCAACTCAACAGCACTTAACAACGACAATAATTATATCAAAATCTGTATTACCTTGGAGAAAAAAATTTCCTTTTCATTCAAAATGTCTTCAATTACTGAAAACATACATAGTCAACAGAAAATTCAAAGTGAAAAATACTTGTGTCTTGTCTAAGGATTAAAAGACACAAACTACCAAAGATTACTTAAAAAGAAATAGATAATCTGAATACCTCTTGATCTCAACAAAGACCTGGGAAACCGAATGAAACAGATACAGATGGTGATCCTAGAACCCTGAGCTTCAGAGGAGAGGACAGAGAGGTGACCTAACTGATGACTGGAAGCAGAAGAGGAACAGGAGCAGTGAGAGAGAAGAAAAACTAACAGCCTGTAGGCTGGCCTGGAGCAGTGGGGCCATCTTGAGATTTTGCGAGAGGCTGTTAATACAGCAGACTGTAGGAACAGGCCTGGCTGGAGGTTGGTGACAAGGGAGACAGAGTCTGACCTTGTCTCTGTCCTCATCAACCTAGCAGTCAGTGATAGCTCTTGTTGGGAAGTCTTTGCTCGGCCTGGGGTTGGGCAGTGGACATAGCACCCCAGGTTCTGAAGGTGGGTGAATCCACCCTGAACTACGCTACACACATCAAGAAGGGTGTTCACACTTCCAAAGTCTACAACATCTACCAGGAGACAAGTGATGAGAACCTGAGAACCCACCAATAAACAATCGTCAGTTAAATATAAATACAACACCCCGATGCGGAGAAAGATGAGGCTTTCTACTCCCGTAAAGCTTTACACCCTCGGAAACCCTGCGCAGGGTCGCAACCAACTCGACGGCACTTAACAACAACAACGTCTTAGAAAAAAAAGTTTCACCTTACTCAAAGAAACAAGAGAAAGTACCAAGTGACCAAAACAGAGAATCAGAAAATATGATACTGGAACTACATTATAAAGAAGTTAAAAGAATGATAATTTGGTTACATTAGATGGATTGAAAGAATGAGAAAACAGATGAAATGAAAGAAAATGAACAAAAAATTTGAGAATTCAAGGAAAAAACACAGACAAAAAACCAAACTGGAAACCATATAAAAACAGCAATTAGAAAGCCAGAAGATTAATACTAAGTCTTCAGAAATAGATATACAATGAAAGGTCAGACAAGTAGAATTTAATCAATGGAAGGAGGAATTACTGAGGTTGAAGACAAATATCTCAATATTTATATACTAAAGGGGTAATCAGGAAAAAAGAATAAAAAATTCTGAAGAAAGTCTAAAATTTATGTGGAACACTATCAAGAAGAATGACTTGTGGCAGGATTTCCAGAACAGGAAGGGAGAAAAAAAATTCATAGAGAAAACTGTCCAAGAGTTGTTGGAAGAAAATTTCCCTAACATTATGAAAGACAAGAAGATAGCCATTCAAGAATCTGAATGAACTCCAAACAGGACAGACCCCAAAAGAAACTCACCAAGACATACTGTAATCAATCTTTTCAAAACCAAAGACAAGGAAGGAATCCTGAGGACACATCAAAGAAAAAAAAAGCTATCTATAAAGGAGAACTAATAAGATTAAACAACAAATTGCAAGCTAAGAATCATACACTCAGCAAAACTGGCCATCAAGTATAATGTTGAATTACAGATGCAAATCAAAACAATAATGAGACACCATCTTACTTCAGCATTAATAACAAAGTTCAAAACAACAGAAAACAAAAAAATGCTGATGAGGGTGTGGTGAGACTGGGAGCCTCCTACATTGCTGGTAGCACTGTAAAATGGGGTAGCCACTGTGGAAAACAATATGGCATTTACTCAGAAAGTTGGAAAGACCGATACCATATAACCCAGAAACCTCTCTACCTAGTACATATCCTCAATAAATGAGTCACAACATGATTAGATATGTAAATTATACTCATGTTCTTCACAGCAATATTCACAACAGCAATAAGATGGCGCTAGTCTAAATGGAAAATCAATGCATGAACGTGGAGGACATTATACTAAGTGAAATTAGTCAGTCACAAAAGGGTAGATAGTGAATGAATGAAACCACTATTGCAGAGGCTCAAGTTTTTCATGATAAAAGAAACATTTTTTGAAGGTTACCAGGGGTGGGAGGGAAGGGAGAGTAATTTACTGGTTAGAAGGTGGCATATGCTAACTTGGGTAACAGGCAAGACAATATACAACACGAGGGAGGTTGTCATGATGAAGACAGGTGAAGAAAAAGGAGGAAGGTAAGGGTTAAAAGGGACAGAGGTGAATACTGTTAATATACACAATATATACAACCCTGCAACAACAGTGTAATATAGGTAGATACAAGGACAGATACACAGACAGAACAGGTACGGGTGGGAGAGGGGGGGTATATCCACAAATAAGTAAAGGTTTGACAGAGGATATTTATCCATGAGTATTTATTTACTTTGTTACAAACACACCTATGAATGAGGTGGAGCAAACAGAGGGCAAAATGATGAAAACTTCTTAGACATTACCAAACACCTTGAGGCAACAAGTTGCTGGGCGTAGAGGCCCAAGAACATAGTAGTCTTAGGTGACACTATGTGACATAAAATAGTTCACAAAGACAATGTTCTATATCCTACTTTGCTGAGTAGCAACTTGGGTCTGGAAAGTTCATGAGTGGCCATTACAACTATCAGTCACTCCATGTGCAGAAGACAGAAGAGTGATGATGACTAACCAACACCTCAACACCAGTATCTATGACTCTGAGACCAGACGAACTAGATGGCTCCCAGCTGCCACTATTAAACTGCTCGGAAAGAGATCACATTAGAAGGTCCCAGATAGAGTGGGAGAAAACATGGAACAAAACTCAAAATTACAGCTATAAAAAAAGATCTCACTTTCTCAAGTGAGAAAGAGACTGGAAGAACC